TGGAGAGCTGGCTCAGTGGTTAAGAGCACTTGTTCTTCCGGAGGGCCTGGGTTTGATTCCCAGCACCTACCCGACAACTCGCAACCACTGCAACTCAGTCCCAGGGAAGCACTGATGTCCTCTTCTGACCTTGGTGGACATCAGGCCATGCACATGGAACACATACATAAATGGAGGCAAAACAGCCATACACACAGTGTAATAAATTAATAAAAATTTGAAAAAGAAATTGCTGATATATAGTCAATCTATAATTTATATACATATGTAAAAATGTAAGTATGTCTAAAAAAGTAACAAAACATACTAAAGTTTTCCCTACACACTTTGCCGTTTTAATGCATGGCATATGTTCAATATGTTGTGAACTCCATTAGGGTTAATAGCTGTGTACCTAATGGACTGGAATAAGGTGGCAAATAGGAGGAAGCGGAGCACTATTTACTGACTGTTGAGAGGCATCACACTGTCCTAGTGACAAACAGCTGGTCATAACCACTCCTGTAATCCCAGCACCCAGGAGGCTGGGGTAGGAGTGTCACCTTGAGTTACAGGCCATCTTGGGCTGCACAGTGAGAGTTCAAGGCTGGCCTGAACTACAGTCTGAGACACTGTTTCAAAAATTTTGTTTTTAATCTGGTTATAATAGCTATAGTACCTAACTACAAAACAATTTTAATTAAATATCAAATATAGTCGATATATTCTAATGTTCTTAGGGTGGATATGTACCATTCCCTGTTTTCCTATTTTCTTCCCTTTCCTTACAAGTTTAAATGACTATCTCATACCAGAAACTCCATCATTGCAGGTATTTGGGAATTCTAACCACATTTTAGAGTCTATTGAGGATATGGAAATGAAACCTCATTATCCCAAATCATACATTGTTCTATTTGCATATCTAAAAAAATATCAAAATTTATATTTAAGGAGAAAAGCAGCATGAGAAGCTACCCACAGAATCTGCATTCACTGCATAGAGGGCAAGTAGGTATGTGGTGTGCTCACGGCAGCCTGATGGCCTGTAAGGAGCCAGCTAAGGAGTCAGCTGTGTCTCGACGGTCACAGACCACTGTCTTAGGATTCGCCTGCACTTGAACTTAACTACCATAAAGCTTTGGAGCACAAAGGAACAGTCAATGACACATCCCATTTTAAGCTACAGTAACCTATCATTAAAGAGTCATTAAGCAATATTTGTAAGGCTTAAGTAGGAAGCTTAATAACATTCAAGTATATAAGATTATCTTCTGTACTTTGTGGGCTTGTGTTTGATTCTGTGTAAGGATATAGAATATTTAAAGCTTTAAGTTACAAATTCACTTATAATAATTTTTAGCCTTTTCCCTAAGATAAATCACATGAATTAAGTTTTAGAAAAAAATATGGAAAAGTAATATTCAAACTCTGTATAAGATAGATAGATAGACAGACAGACAGACACACACACACACACACATACATAATTTGAAGGCTAGCTCAGAGTACAATGAAAATCAGTTTTTCCATTAAAAAAGTCAAAGCATATAATTAAATATTTAATCTTAAAATAAGGAATTTTCATAAATTATAATTTTTGAACAAATAAATATAAAATAATTACATTGTTTTTATTATGAACCTTTTTAAAACCTAACTGTAAACTTGTGTATACAAAGTAAACTGGTGACCCTGTTTACATGCATACAACTTTCACTCTGCTTGGTTCTTGGTTGACATGACAACTATTTATCCTTGAAGCTGTCTCCTGGACGTTGTGCAGGGAAGATGATATGTACATAAACATTTTAGGAGGAAATGTGAGCGCAGACCCAGTAACAGAAAGTCAGTGCACCCTGGCATTCCACACTTGACTTATCTCTAGTTATCCATACAAAGCTTATGTATGGAGGCCACAGCAAAGCAACTAGAATACCACTCAGCTTTACCAGGTCTCCCATACCCTCTTCCTGGTATTGCCCGTTTTCATTATTTTCTAGAATACCATAAGTTCCCAGAACAGCATAGAATAAAATTCAAAGAAATGTAACCACTGGGTGGAATTTAGAGGTTGTTTTTTCCAGATAGTCTAATTTAAAGTTCAGAAGACTGACCTCCAAAATTTTTTTAAAGGCCAAACTCACACTCCAGCTTCTAGAACTTGCCCACTCCACCTGTCAATATCAGAGTATCATTCAAAGAGAAAGTTCTTCCCTGGACCCTGCGACTGTGAATAGGTACCAGCACTGTCCTCAGAAGAGGAAGGCTTTGGATCTCCACACATCCCCCTGAGCATTCAAGTACTGCAGGTCCTCACTGACAAAAGGCACTTCCCACAAGAGGATTGGGAAGCAGAGGCCAGTGTCTTTCTCCTATGAGTTCTCATACCAGCTGATTCTTCTTTCCCTCCTCTTCCTTTGCTTTGTTCAGTAACTCCCTTTCTTCAAGAAATAACAGATGAAAAGATATCCATGAACATTGATCACTTTATTCCTTGAGGCTACTTTCCCTTGGAAGATTCTCAGCTGCAAAGGTAAGGGCCAGACCAGTGTTCCTGTTGCGTTCTTACACTAGGAACAAAGGGAAACAATGATTCTGACTGTTTCTACCATTAAAATAAGATACAGTCTTCACCATCAGAAGGGGAAAGCATCCCTAATATGGGATGGTCTAGTATGTGAGAAGTTTCTAAGAAATTATAGCTGATCTTAGGGATGTCTTCTGGCACAGCTAGAAAAGTGAAGCCATAAGACCGACATTCAGCACAGCATCTATTTGTGAATGGCTAGCATCTTTGAAGAAGCTCAGTGTGTGATGGATTTCTAAGATGTGCCCAATTTTGAGTGTACTGCTCTTACCATATAATTACTTACATATAAGCAATTACTGGCTATCTTTCTTTTTAGCCCACTAGCTTTAGGATGGCTTTTATTTATAGATTTCTAATACTGTCCTGATTTTCCAACGAAGGTAATATAGGCACGGTACTCAAATAAAATTCTAATTATAATTTCAGAAATGAAAGAAAATATCATCAAAATGGCTAGCTAGTAAAATAAGATAAATTCTAACAGCTTGGTTTTAAATTAAAACATACACATTGAGCCTATGTAACATTGTGAACTATGAAAAAATCACAATCATCCAAGAGCACACTCATTCACTGATATTAAAATATTATTGACATTAAAGTCTATTCTCAGATCTGCTAGGCTTAATGTACAGTAATCTAAAGTGTGTTGAATAAATGAAAAAATTACAAAGCTGTTTTTATGTCAGCTATGATGGCACACACCTTTAGTCCTGACACTTGGGAAGCAGAGGCAGGCAGATCTCCATGAGTTCCAGTCCAATCAGAGGAGCATAGTGAGACGCTGTCTCACACACACACACAAAGGCAAAAGCAAACAAACAAAGCGCCCTGCTTTCATTTACAGCATCAGTACTATATCTAAAAAGAAAACATTTCTTTTCATGGCAACACAAGCTCACTTCAATTCAGAGTGAAAAGAATTGCTAGGAAAACACTTGCTGGTCTCCTTTTACTGAAGCCTTCATTTATTTTAGGTCATCCAACAACGTATGGTTTGACTGTCAAACAAAAAACTTAGTCAAAATAAACAAATAATCCAGAAGGACCACACTTGCGAAGATACTCAATTCTTGCACCTTACTTCTGCTTTTCCTGTTGCTGTATTCAAAAGTAACTGCACCTATAAATATACCTTGACATTTTACATAAAGCATCCTTTTACAGAAACTTAAAAAGCAATTTAAGTAATGGCATGATCTTAAAAAAAAAAAAATCACTGAGTAAAAATAACTGCCTGGGCCCACTGTACCTTTACCTAGGAATCTGTTACCGTTAATAAACTATAAAATCATTACCAAATCTTGTGTTTAAATATTCTCTTTCAAGACTCAGTTCCTTAAAATTAATTAAAAATGTTTATACGAGAACAAAAGCAAAGTTCTTTTAGCAAACAGTTGTTAACTTAAAACGAGACAAAGCACCTTACTCCCCTTGGGAGAACGAAACCTTCCCTGTGCAATGAGACCTCCAACACCGCACTTGTGTGGAGTACTACCAACTTTAACAGGAATGGCAACCGGCTCTGGAGCCCATGGAACTGGTTTGCACCCATTAGTCAGCCGTATTTCCCCTCAAGTTCTCTTCAAAGCCTTTCACCCAAACACAAGTATTAGTAAGACAATCTCTCGGACATTTTTAAATAAACTAAACAAGAAGTATAAACATTGCTCCAACACAGCTTGTGCAGTGTCTGGAGTTTACTCTTTTATTTTGTCACTACCCCAGTTTTACATCAGTTTTGCTACTTAGTAACAGCTCAGGCCAAAATACACCTAAGAGGACTCACCTCAAAACTAAGAACGGAGGCCGGGCGGTGGTGGCGCACGCCTTTAATCCCAGCACTCGGGAGGCAGAGCCAGGCGGATCTCTGTGAGTTCGAGGCCAGCCTGGGCTACAGAGCGAGATCCAGGAAAGGCGCAAAGCTACACAGAGAAACCCTGTCTCGAAAAACCAAAAAAAAAAAAAAACTAAGAACGGTAAAACCCCAGACATTGTTTGTGCAAGAGAGGGTGTGTTCTTACACAGATAATCAAGAACCCAAACCTGTCAGGACCACACAGCTAAAGTCAGAAGGCTCTACAATGTTCTACCACAGAAACATGTACAGAAACACCAAGCAAACTAACGTGGCCAAAAGTGACCTACTTTGCAATCTGTGAATCCATGAATACCCAGGCAAATAACAAGATAATGAAGAGGGCCACCACCCTGGCCCTCAAAATCTCATAAGCATATAAAGGATACAATTAGTACTGTACAATGAACTTTAAGATATGATTGTGTCTAGACTCACAAGTATCCAACTTTAGGTTCATCTCAACATTTGAGTTACCAAGAAAAGAAATCAAAATTCACTCACTTTATATAGTATCTTGCACCTTCAAAAGTATATGCCTCTTCCCAGCCGGTGGGTAAATCTAAAAAACACACATTTCAATTAGTATTACTTCAGTGGGACTGCAAAATATGCTTAAACCCATCTTACCTGTCTTCAGGATTACCTACATTCATTTAAGGAGGTGTCTATCCCAAATCTCGACTCGCCAAATCAATAGTGATTATTACAAATTAAAAATAAAACATTATTTGGAAGATGACAATTCAAATGTAAAGCCACCAAGAAAGTCTCAGCAATATTAGAGGTGACCTGACATGATTATTCCCTTTAATGATCAGGGTGGAAAAGGAATATGTTCTGGCACTCCCCCCCCCCACAAAGTAAGTCTTCTAAATCCAGGTAAAATACCCATCACTGATTGCCAAAAACCCCAAACAGGAAGCACTTTGCATTTTTAGGTATATTCTGTCTATTTAAAAAATGTGTTTTTCAGTGGCATAACCAAATTCATCTAGGGTTTCACCTAGTATGAAAACTCAAGAGCTTAATGAGTGGAAAACTGACTGAATACTGACACACTGTGTTTCAGTACACTTGACCTTAAGAGATGTGAAGTTTCACGAGTAACGATGTTGGGAATGATTCAGGTGAATGACTGTATCTTTATGTGCCACATGGTGCTTATGATGACAAGCGGTTTGGACTTAATCATAACCCATCTCCAAAATGAAGTCATGGATGTGTGCACAAAACCGGAGCCCAAGCAAAGTAAAGCAAACCAAAATAAATAAAATCACATCAGTGAATAAAATATTTCTGGCATGTGACTGTTATTCAATCTGTGAGAGTAATTAGAAGACATTGGTGTCACAAATAACCCAAATAAGCAAGAAATAATGACACAAAACGACTGGGTTCAGTTACTTTAATCCCATATTGTCTTCCATGAAATAATCTCGTCCATATCCACAAAAGCAATGAGACTATCAAAGTTGCAGTATGTATATAAAATAGGCTGAAGCTAAAGACTGCACCGGGAGTTAGGAAACATGACGGTTTATTAGTCAGAAATGCCCTAAAAATGTAACCTCATCACGCTTGCTACAGCAGCCTTCCCTTTCCTCCTCCACGTTTTTGCAAATTTGGACACATTATTAGTCACTTCACCGAACTCCAGCGTTTGACAGAAAAGGCAGGCTTGTTCACCCTTCTGGCAACTTTAATAGGAGATTCTCAGAACCTCGGAGTTGGAGAGAAAAGTACTGAAACCCGCCTCACCTTCGACCCAAACTGTTCTCAAGCCTTTGCACTAGCCTGGAATAGAGGCGGGCCGGCAAGAGAACACTGTTACGTTACAGGCAAACAAGTTGGGCGAATGTAAACAAAGAATGACAAAAGAAAGCCAGACCAGCACTAAAACACCCTCCTCCAGCTCAACTCACGCTTGACATTCAAGAAAGCTATCAAAGCAATCCGTGATGCGTCTCCCCGCGGAACTGGGGCCCGAATGCCCCCACGCGGGACCGCCCTGGCTCGCCCACCGCCTGCTGGTGGTACGTGGAGCCTAGCTGCGGCTGCCGGGGACTTTTGAGCCCAGATCACTGGCTGCAGCGCCCGCTCCAGTGTCCTGACTCGGGCTGTTCCTCCGGTAGCAGGAGAAGACGCACCGGCGTTTGGGTCACGGGAAGGGCTGGGGGGGGGGGGGGGTACCCAGCACCCCTAACTCCTCCATCAGTCACCTACCCACAAGTCCCACCTAGGAGAAGTAGGAGGTGGAGGAGGAGGAGGAGGAAGCTGCTTGGCAGAAGGCAGTTCTCTGGGGAGCGGGGCGAAGATGCAGGACCACCTCACCGCGGGGGTGCTCGGGTACGGGGAGCACCGAGGGGGAGCGGGTGAGGACACCCTAAAGGGTGCTGGGGGCTGAGACGGGGGCGATCCGGGAGAGAGGGGCGTCGGCCGTCCTCGGGGGGCGTCGGGGCAGGGATGGGGACCGGGGCGCAGGAAGGGGGCGCCGTCTCCAAGTGCTGATGGAAAGGCGGAGAAGAAAGGCGCCCCGGGACTCACTCGCGCGGAGCCCGGAGCACCTCCAACCCCGCCAGGTGGCCGTGAGCCGCAGCCCCGGCTCGCCCTACCTGTGCTCTGCCGCCGGTGCCCGGTGACCACGGCCTCGCCGGTGACCGGGTGCAGCCAGGTGGTGCTCTTGGCCTCCTCGCTGCAGGGGAAGAGAAGGGACAGGCGCTGAGCGGCGTGAGGGGCGACCCACGGGGCCCCCGGCCCGCTGGCTCCCGCCGCCCCTCGGCCGCCCCGCGGCACCTCCCCCGCCCGCTCACTTGATGAAGAAGACGCGGCCGCCCCTGGTGATCCCGTACGTCCAGGAGCGCGGCAGCGAGCAGATCCACTCCAGGTTCAGGTCGGCCGCCATGTCTGCCGCCCGCCCGGCCGCCGCCGCCGCCGCCGCCGCCGCCGCCTTGTGCTGCCGCCGCCGAGGAAGGAGGGCGCGAGCGAGCGAGCGAGCGAGCGAGCGGAGCGCAGGGCGCGCGGCCCGGCCCGAGCGCGCCCCCGCGGCCGCCCTACCCCCTCGGGCGGCGCCCTCCCCGCCGCCCCGGCTGAGTCCGGCCCGCGTCGCCGCCCCTCGGCATCCTCCGCGGCCGCCCGCCGGCCCGCCCGCCGGCCCGCCCGCCGGCCCGCGCTGCGCTGCGCTCGGAGGCTGGGCGAAGCGGCGCCGCGCCCCCGCCAAAGCCCTCCCCCGCGCCCCGCCCGCGCCGCGCCAAGGTTCCGGGGTCGGGTCCCGCCGGCGCCCCGAGGGCTCGGCTCCCAACCCGAGCTGTTTTGCAACCGCTACTGCCTAGCCCCGGGCTTCTCAGAGAGACGCGAGGCTCTGCAGGAAGGCTGCTCTCAGGAAGGGTTTTTCTGGTGTGTGGCGTGCCAGATATCATCGGAGGGTCCACGAGTGAATGCCGACCGGTGAAATGGGACTGACTCAGACTTGAGGGTTGTTTTTTTTTTTTTTAATTTTAACCCCCTTTTCTTCCTAGGCTCCTGAGTCATATAATAATTTAGAAAAACTTGCCTTTTCCTCTTCCATTCCTAAAAAGATTCACTTGATTATCAACGTGAATTTCTATTCTCCAATCTCTCTCATTTATTACAATAGCAACTTACTTTACGGAGTCCTTGGGATGGTGGACATTAAAATCCCAACAACCCTGTTAGAATTATGATCGTCCCCATTTCAGAGAGGAGAAAAAAGAAATGTGAAGGAACAAAGGTCATTGCGCCGGGGGTTATGGTAGAAAGTGGCAAAGCCTGGATTCGAATTGCCTGTAGGCTCTCAAGATGCTCATATGACTATGTGGCTGCATAGTATTTTTTTTTTTTAATGCCTTGACATCCCCCTCCCCTTGTTCTTTGAACAAAGGAAGAGTTCACTACAAGTGAGACCTCCCTTGGCACCAGTTGAGAGCACTATGCTTGCTTCTTACTGTCCCTGATCCTTCATCACACTTGGAATTGTTTCTACGGCTTTGCAGCAAATGACTCATCCCAACAGGAGACACAGTTCAATAATAATAGTACAACTTGGCGTTCTCACAGCACCTTTTTTTTTTTTTCCCTGACCAGTTTTGGGTGCTTCTGAAGCATTATCTCATTCATCTTCCCAGTAACTGAAATAAGCAAATGGTCTTTTTCATCCTGTAAGGAAACTAGGCACAGAAAGGATGAATGCCCTTGACCAAAGCTCCCGAGAATGCATTTTCATTGTCCCCCCCCCCCCCATCTCCTGATTCCCCAAGGCCATACGTCTCTGGTGAAATGGAGACTGCAATTACTGCTATAATTTCCCTGTCCATCTGCATACACAGGAGGAAAAAAATATCATCACTGTAATGTTTTCTCTTCTGGGTTCCTTTGTATTCTGCTCCTTCATTTCGCTCCTTATTACTTCTTGACATCTTATCTCCTGCCCAGTCTCTGGAAAATATGTATTTTTTTAAAATCAATGAATAGCTAGTAGGAAATGTCCCACATTAGCATCAGTGGTCACTGGCACAGCACTGTAAGAATATCAAGAGCTGTTGACTTTCTATTCTGCTATCATTACAGACTTAAAACTCTCCTAAATACCACAATGGCTTTATGGGTCTAGTGCTTGTTAGTTGAGGATCTGGAAGTTTCCATCCTACTTAGAAGTCTCTAAGTTGGCTTTGTGCTGTGCTGGGATTCTGTTGAGCTCTGAATCTTTTGATATTGCAAGATGCATTCATAGAAGGCATATCCCAAAAAGCAAAATAGATTCACTAATATATCTTTAAAAATCACAACCAAGGGTTAAGGCTGTAGTTCACTATAGAGTACTTACTCACATGCTCTAGGTTTAATCACCAGCTTCAGGGTGGGGGAGGTAGAGAGAGGGAAGAGAAGAAAAGGGAAGACATTCACAGTACTCAAACACTGATCTAGAATCTCTGATTTGTTTTGCTTTTTGTTTGTTGAGACAAGGTCTCACTGTATAGCCCTGGCTGGCCTGGAATTTGCTGTGTTGACCAGGCTAGCCTCTAAATCAAAGAGATTTGCCTATCTCTGCCTCCAGAGTCCTGGAACTTACAGTGTACACCACCACTCCCTGAGTAATCTAGAATCTTAAAAATAATTCTATAATATGTCCTCAAGTTTAGGAAAATCAGCAAGTAAAAAACTTAGTGATGTATATACAAAGTGAGACAGGCTTTGGATTAGGGTAAATAATAGCTAATATGACCTTGAGTGATAGTAAAAGCAGCTTCATGGGTTACAATGCTGAGTACTCTAATTTCTCACCTTTAATGGGCAAAATTTTTATTTTCTTTAAATCTTCCTAAAATGCCCTTTCTATGACCATTCTTTGTATCAGGTCTGTTTGATCTTGCTTGTGTGTCTGTGTGACTTCCCTGTTGGAAGGTAGGAATCATGCCTTTTCCTATCGCTGAGTCTCCACAGCCTTGAGTCAGCTCTGGGATCATCAGTAGTTTAATTTTCTTCCTGATGCCTCAACCCCTCAATGGAGTTATTATCCAATAATATATCCCCTTTTATCACCTTACACCTCTGCAGAACTGAGTCAGACCTAACTCATATCCAGTGTCTGCTTTTTATTGCCTTTCTTCATATTTCCAGCCTGTGAGACTATTTGATATCTTATTTCATGAGTTTGTCTTTTGAGAAGAACCATCCTGTGACTATTGCTACCTCAAAAGAAGAGGAGGCTTAAAAGTCCTGAGGAAAGAGCCAGTGACTACAGGAACCCACGTGATGGAAGGAGAAACCAACTCAAGGTTGCTGTCCCCTGACCTCCACATGCACTTTGACAGTCACACCTCCCCAAAATAAATAAATCTAAAAAAAAAAAAAAAGTAAGTACTGAGATAAACTAAAAATAAAATCACCCTTCTCATTCACAGAGGACAATCCTTGATCTTAAAGAACACAACAAAAAAGCCAAAACCAAAAACCCCAAACCTAAGATTGCTTCCTAAAATGTTTGAAAGAAAAGAGAGCAAAGTGAAGTCTTGGAAAACAACAGATTCGTGTGATGCCTCAGTGGTCAAGGGAGCTCTCTGCCAGGCCTGAAGGCCTGGGGTGTAGCCCCGCACCCACTTGGTGGAAGGTCAGAACCTGCGCCTCCAATCCCCCGACCTTCTTATATGGGCTGTGGCACAAACACCCACTACCCCTCTACCCCCGACACAATAAGTAAATAATATATGAAATTAAAAACAAATTCATTTGCTTCCCTTTAGAAACCTTTAAAAACCATTTATTTATTTTCATTTTACATGTGTGAGTGTTGTACCTGCCATGTGAGTAAATGTGCCGTATGCATGCCGTATCCACTGAGACCAGAAGAGGGTGTCAGATGCCCTGAAATTGGAGTTACAGACATTGTAAGCTGCTTTGTGGGTGCTGGGAATTTAACCCGGGTGCTCTTAACCACCAAACCATCTCTCTAGCCCCTGCTTCCCTTTTTAAAGGGGATTTAAAAAAAAAAAAAAGAGTTCTAGAAAGCAAAGAAAGAGCTCATGAGAGAGAAGTTCTTTTACTGTCAAGAAATACCTACTACTCACATATACTGTCATTTATTAAACTCTAATAAGGGGGCCCGGGGCACTATAGCTCAGTGGTAGAGCCTTTGCCTGCCATTCACGAGAAGGCCCTGGTCCTTACAAAGTCTACCAACAAAATTTGATGCTATGTATTTTGTTACATCATTGGTTCAGACTCAAGAATATTGTAAGTAGTTCCTGGAACTAGTACCAGTGTAAGGTGGAATACATCAGGAAGGGTCTGAGATGAAGGGCAAAACACTTGGGCCCTAACTAGCCAAATGAAAATGCAGACAGAAGGGGTGGAGCCTGAAAGTCTGCATCAGTGAAGAACTGTAGGATCTGCAAGCCAATTTATTAGGGATTTCTTTCCTAAGAAGCAAACTGGTCAGGGATGGGCTTACTGTTCAGTTGATTCTGTGCTTTTTTGTAGAATGCATGAAACCCTGGGTTCAAGCCTCAGCACCCAAAAAGCTGTTTGCAGTGGGGCATGCCTATAATTCCAGCACCTGGAAGGTACAGGCAGGAGAATCAGGAGTTCAAGGGAGATGGGGGAGGGGACTCTGAATTCAGGAGTTCAGGTCATCCTTGGCTACATAGAGAATTCAACGGCAACCAGGGAAACTGGAGACCTTGTTTCATTTTAAAAAGGTGTGGGGGGGAGTTAAAAAGAACTGGATAACAGTTACAGTTAAAATTATTTCACTCATTCAAAAACCATATATAGTAAGCAGCCTTCCCATGTGCCAGCAATCTTGCTGGAAGATAGGAATTAAAAGGCTTGGA